CTTCTATTAGCTTCAGTGTGTTCGGACTGATATTGAGGTCTTTAATCCATTTGGACTTGAGTTTTGTGCATGGTGATAGATATGGATCTATTTTCATTCTTCTACCAATTGACATCCAGTTTTGCCAGCACAATTTGTTGAAGAAAGAGGAACATGGGATGTACTCACTCATATTTGGTTTCTAGCCATAAATAAAGGACATTGAGCCTATAATTCGCGATCCTAAAGAAGCTAAATAAGAAGGTGAATCCAAAGAAAAACATATAGGCATCCTCCTGAATATTAACCTTCATCAGGCGATGAAAGGAGACAGAGACAGAGACCCACATTGGAGCACCGGACAGAAATCTCAAGGTCCAAATCAGGAGCAGAAGGAGAGAGAGCTCTAGCAAGGAACTCAGGACCGCGAGGGGTGCACCCACACACTGAGACAATGGGGATGTTCTATCGGGAACGCACCAAGGCCTCCTGGCCTGGGTCTGAAAAAGCCTGGGATAAAACCGGACTCGCTGAACATAGCTGACAACAAGGACTACTGAGAACTCAAGAACAATGGCAATGGGTTTTTGATCCTACTGCACGTACTGGCTTTGTGGGAGCCTAGGCAGTTTGGATGTTCACCTTACTAGACCTGGATGGAGGTGGGCAGTCCTTGGACTTCCCAGAGGGCAGGGAACCCTGATTGCTCTTTGGGCTGATGAGAGAGGGGGACTTGATTGGGGGAGGGGAAGGGAAATGGGAGGCGGTGGCGGGGAAGAGACAGAAATCTTTAATAAATAAATAAATAAAAAGAAAGAAAGAAACTGTATGTACACCAGCAAACACACATTTGCTGCACATTTTGTGCTGCTATAGGTACACCACAAGTTGGAGAATTTATAGTAAAAACTATTTATTTTGTGTACCACTGGAGGTTGGGAAATCGACAGTCAAGTGATGACATTTTGCAAATGCGTTCTTTTGATATCATGGTATGACAGAAGGCAGAATGAGAAAAGAAGGCAAGGAAGACAAATAAGAGGGGTCAAAACTCATTCTGTTACTAATGAACCGACCTTTGTAACAAAAGCCTTAATCCACTAAACCTACTCAAGGTTGCACTAGGGAATTAAACCTCTAACACTGTTGCTGGCTCCTAATGTCTTCCTCAGGGAAGGGGTGAAAAGGTACAATGTCTACAAACACAGGCACTGGGAGTCAGGTAGAAGGCATACGACATACTTGTTTATTTAACAATGGAAAAAAAAACTTACAAACCCTCCCAGCACCTAGGCATTCTGATCTGTTGACAATTGACAACACATGGTCACCCCTCATTGGCTAGGCATCCTCAGGACCTCTGACAGTGCCAGCCAGACTCCAGGTTTGCTGTTTTTGGCCTGGTAGGCCTTACCTTCTTACATATTCACCATTTTTTATTTATTACATGGGTGCTCAGCAGGAGCCCGACCGAGTTCTTTACTAAGGCTTTGTTGACCCTACCTAGGAGAACTCAGCAACTAGAGTGTGCCTGTCTTAAGTTGGCCTGCTGAACAGGCTCTTTCCTGTCATAAACTATCAACCCTTGAAGAACATTCATTTTTGGAGAGCTGCCAGGGTTGAGAGACTAGGCAGTAGCCTTTTGAATTACAGATAACCAGGCGTGCATGACCCCCTGTGGAGGACTGCGAGAAGGATGCCTACGATCCATTAACACCCGGAGCGTCTCCTTAGTTGCTGTCTGCTGATGTTGCACCTGCTGCAGGAGACGTTTAAAGAGAATAAGGATTAATAATACCACCCCACCAATTAATGCATACATTAACATACATGTGAAATGGTAGCACATATTCAGACTATAGTATTAACTGGATAAAAAATAATCAGTATGTAATCTTGACCATTAATAAAAGCACAAGTATAATCTAACTTTTTTAATACATCGCTTTACTCCTGGTCCTCGCTTTGTGATATCCAATACCCAATAGTGAACTCATTTCAATACTATTATAGAATTAGCTTCAGAACAAGTAAGCTAAAAGGTTTCAGAAAGTGGTATCTCTTATTTTCGTATATAAACTCTCTAATATTTGATGAGAGTTTTTCTATTTTTGTCTCATTGTCATCCCAGAAAGGAGTATTTTCCTCTTGAAAAGAGTTCAATATTGTTATGTAAATTTAAAGTTTGTGTGTTATCCTAAGCTATAGAATCCTTGCAAGCACACTCTGCATTAGCCAGGTAAAACCTTCTTTGAAACAATATTTGCATGTTGATCACATTAACTTCTTGAGTATATTACTACATTCTCAAACGAATTTCACAAGGAATAAAATTCATCATCTATATTTCTGGTATAAATAGTTGAAATTATGTGAATGATGAAGATTCTTACAGGCTCTACAAGAACAGATTACAGTAATATGTAGGAAAATCAAAAATAAACAACTTTTTAAGTATTTACTTTTATTTTATTTATGTCTATTTGTGTGTGTACCACATGTTTACAGGTGCCTTAAAGGCCAGAAGAGGGTGTCAGATCTCTGGGAGCTGGAGTTTCTAGTGATTGTAAGTTGCCAAACATGGGTGTGAGAGACAACGTCGAGTCCTCTGAAAGAACAACAAACACTGTTAACTGCTCAGATACTTATCCAGATCCTTAAGTACGCAACTTTGATCATGATGTCTTCAATACAGATTACTAAGTTTCAACTTGGCATTGAAATCTGAAATGAGAGAGGCAGTGTAGCCACACACAAAAAAGTGTTATTTAAAATAAAAAGACTGAAATAACAAACAAAAATTTAAAAATTCATCTCTAGGAAAGAAGTTCTTCCCAGTCTAAAGGTACCAAACCTTCCAAATCACTCAAACCGAATCTTTCTCCTTACTTATCATATCAATCAGTAGCTAATTGTAAAAGTAACAGTACCATCTTTTGCCCATTCAGTGTTGGGACACTTAAAATCTGAGACTTTGGACTCTTATTTGTCAATAAATATATCCTCTAAGTCAATGGACAAATATACTATCCAGTGTAGTCCACATATATCTCAAAGCCCTCAGTAAGACAAGCAAGGAAGGATCCTAGGCCACATATGTCTTGACAATTACCAGTTTCTATTGACAACCTGAAGTTGAAGCTTATTTTAGCTAGCAGATGTTTTCCATCTTTCCTGTGATTTTGTATCTACGATTTCTTCTACTACAAATAAACATGATAAAATAAGATAGATGTTCTCTTAAAAGATGATTTCTTATTAAGTGAAGGCTAAAAGTCTGAGGTTCAGACCAGACAAAATGGTAAATGTAACAAAGGTTACACCAAGGTGGAACTTCCAATTCCAAGGAGATATATGTACATTTTTATATACCTCCTATTAAATACAATTAAATCCTCTGTGTGGCACACACAAAACTAGCATAAAGATGATTTGTGAGCGGTGAAGAGAAAAAGGCATGAACTTTAAACTCCCTCCCACTGACTTCTTTTATCTTTATCTCCCTCCATGAGAGAGCATTCTAGAAGCCACTTACAATAAGGATCTAGGTTAGGAATTAGAATCAGAAGTTCTTGTGATCTTTTTATTTATTCATCACAGTCCATAATGCATCATAGCATTCAGACATATGAGACAGTGTTGCTTTAAATGGAGATAAAAGCCTGAAATATTGAGATGAATGTTGAAATAAGTAATAATAATGATGACTGATATCTGTGGGATAATATGGATAATTTATAGAAATAAACTCATTTAAGCTGCTGAGAATCCTATAAAGTAAGTAAATTGTCATCTAAGTTTTAAGATAACGAAATTTATGCAGAAAATCAGTATGTCATTTCCCAAAGTCTCACAGCGAGGAATTAGGGGAGTCAGGTTATAGCACAAAATATTCTGGCTCTACAGTCAGAGCCAATAACTTGCATGTAGTATTTCTAATTTGAAACTGATTCAGCCCACAGTAGAAGCAATAGAGGAACTTTCTCTCAGATTAAAGAGAAATTGCCAGAGGTTATCCCACTTTCTCTGCTTTATCTATTAATGTTAAGAAAACCTTTTTAGGCCTTCATGAATATATCACCATTATGTCAAATATACCATTACCATATCCAGACCTCAGTACAAGTTATATGTCATCATTCATATTTTGTGTTCCCTTATTTTCTCTGTTCAATTTTGTTCCAGCACACTGAATTAATTAATCCTTCACCTTATATCAACTCTGTACAGAAAAAGACTTATCCTTCATACTTATTCCTTGCCTTTTTATTTGTATTCAAATCCTTCCTAAAAGATGAGAGACTCATAGAATTCATCAGAGAGAATTCACAGATAGCCTTAATACTTCTCTTTTTTGTGTCATGGGTTCAGGATTACACTTACTATTTGTTCAAAGTTTTGAATCCTTTCCTAACTGGGGGCTCTGGAAGGGTAGTTGAAATAATCTAGCAGGTCATCAAGTTGTTTATGAAATGCGTATTTTTTGTTAATCTTGTCAATTCAACTTGGAGAAGAGAACATAACAACTAATGAAACATTGGCATTGCTTTCAAGATGCATAGTATTATTTCACATTATTTCACAGTAATAATTCATATAGCATAGTAACTATGACCCTTTTACCCATTTTATTATGTGTGTAAGTGTACATGATATACACATATATGTACATGTGTGTACAGGCATGCATGGGCAAACAGAGGCCAGAAGACAACACCAGTGCCCATCTGTATAATCCCCAGACTTATTCCCTTGAGAGAGGATCTCTCACTAAACAACAAAGCTCACTATTTTCAGCTGAGCTCACTGGTCAGCAATCTCCTAGGATTCATCTCTCTGTTCTACAGCACTGAGATTAATCATGGCCATGACTGTCTTTTTCTTTCTTTTTGCTTTTACATATGTTCTAGGGATTCAAACTCGGGTTCTCATGTTTGCACAAGTGCGCTTATCTACTGAGCTATCTCTCTAGACTCAAACTTAGGTTGTTTTTTTTTTTTTTTTTTTTTTTTTTCTTTTCACAGACGGCTTTATGGTAAGCAGTATATTTTTCTGTGACTCGGGCTGACAGAAACTTGGTGGACAGACCTTCATTACAAAGCAGTCAGAAGGAAGAGATGGAAGCAAAGGCCTTTAGTAGACCACAGATCCACATCTGAACCAACATGAGCCAAAGAATTGGCAACAGTCTAGGGGTTGCCTTTTTTTGGGTATCTTGGAGCAAAGCTGCTATGGGAAAATGTGCAGGTGCTTGGGAGATGCTGTGTTACTACAGAGGATAGACGTCAACTCACAGGGTGATTTTTGAAGCCTGGTAATCTGACAATTGACCAGCTGACTACTTGATTAGCTCCTTATAAAACTTGGAGCGCACAAAACGGGGCAGCGAATCCTTCTCCATCAGGGCGTAGATTCTTTTCTGGGCTAGGTCAAAACTGCTCGGGGACGGTTCCACCAGGTTCTTCATGGTGATGTCTTTAGTGAAATGATCGATGTTCACCTCTTTAGGGGCCTCTGTCTGGATGAATTCCTCATAAATTTGCTTTGCCTTCTCCGCCATTTTGACTGGGGATTTTATCTTCTTGTAATCCTCACAGGCAACCCAGAACTCAAGGTTTTCCTCACTGAACTCAGATCTCAGGAAACCTTTGAAGCTGGCAAGTCCATAGTTGTTCTGGAGAAGCTTGTCCAGGGAATGGCGCCACTGCAGGGCCTCATCCAGCGAGGGCTTGTGGGTCTTGGCTGGCTTCTCCGGCTTCTCGTTATATGGAATGACAAGGTCAACAGCAGAGTCTGGCTTCTGGAGGAGAATTCCCAACTTGATCTTGATCTCCTTGGCCCTTTCCAGGCACGAGTGCGGCAGCGCTGCCAGTCCCTTACACATTTTGGCAAGTGGTTTGGGTCCTCAGTCTTGAACGCGAACTTCTCAACAGCCGAACAGGTCTCTGGAAACTTCCACACTGTCTCTTGTTATTTTTTTTTGAAAAATTAATTTAATGAGTTTTAGAATAAAGAAGGTCATGGAAGAATCTATAAACAAATGTCCCACATCATATTCGGACTATATAAACAGAAACTATCTTCATGACTGTTCTGGATGTAGATTATGCCTGGAAGGCAGAGCAAACAAAATGAGGAAAGACAATCTAGGTAGCAGCCTTAAAATCATCATTTGCTTCCTATAAAGTCTCTCCTTAAATTCTTGTGGAAGTTAGAAAGCAGAGCTAGGAAGCTCTAGTTACAATCTATCAGTGCATGAAGGCGGTCCTAAACAGGCAAAACAGAGCAAAGTGACACACTTCTGAAAACTCATTCATTACTCAAAATCCTTAGGGTAAGCAGATGGGCAAAGAGTCAAAGTCCTCTGGTGGAACAGTTTCTTTATTTTGATAGAAATCTATTGAGTTTTCCTGATTTTTACCCCTTTTTAAATTTTAAAAGTTAACAGTAAAATTGTTCCTTTCATGTTCAGTTTTATGAGTTTAATGTATGTACATATATTTACATAATCAGCACCATAAAGTGCCACCAATCAAAAAACTTTTTTGTGTTATCCCATTCTAAATTAATTTTATGCTTCATCTATAAAGAAGTGTGTTTCATTGGGATATTGTAACATTTATATATAATTTTATTTATTCTTAGTCACCTTGTACTTTCCCTTTGTTATATTTTTTGTTGTGTTTTAAGAAAACTGTCCCCCATAGTCTCATGCATTTAAACACTTGGTCCCTGGTTGGTGGCATTGTTTGAGGACATTTGGGAGGCTTTAGGAGGTGGAGCCTGGCTAGAGGAAGTACACCTTTGTGCGTGGGCTTTGAGGGTTTATTGCCTCACCCCACTTCGAGTTCTTGCTCTCTCTGATTCCCTACTGTGGTTGATATATGATATCTCAGCTTCCTATGCCTGCTGCTTGCTACCGTGACGCCACACCATGAGGGACTCACACCTCTGGAATCCTAAACTAAAATGAACTCTTTCATCTACAAGTTACTTTTGACCATATAATAATTTTTCTCTCTTTTCTAAAGTTTTACAATTTCATGTCTTACATCTAGTCCTGTGATTTATTTTGTCTTATTTTTATAAGGCATTAGGTTTAGATCAACATATTTTTTTGTTGAAGATGTCTATATTTCCAATATGATTATTATTTTTTTTACAAGGGAATTCTTGTCTGGCTTTGACATTGCCATATCTATGAACTCCTGTTTTTTTCTGTCTCAATCTTCCAAGTATTAGGATTAAAGGCATACTCCATCATGTCTGGTTCAAATTAAATTTATTGAAAAAAATGATTCTTTTTCCATTGAAAAATTTGTCAAAATTCAGTTAATTCTATGTATGTGGTCTTTATGGCCTCTCTTGTTTCATTCACCAATATCACACAGTCTTTAATACATAATTTTTTAATAAATGCTTTGATTCCTCTTTATTTGTTCTTCCAAATTTCTGTCTATTCTTGTATTGCATCTCCATAAAAAATTCTTGGAAAGATATTCTACACTTATAATTTTAATGGTATTTTGACAGAAATTTTGTTAAATCGGTGTAGAATTTTTCAGAGAATTGACATTTTACTATTTAAGTCTTTTAATCATTGCAGGTAACTGGCCTCTCAATTTAAGTCTCCTTTGATTTCTTCCACCATAAAATTCTTTCATATTTTAGTCATATTTCTGTACATTTGTACATACTTTGTTTCAAGTATTTTTCAGCATACTATATAATATATTTACTTTAGTTTCTACTTTGTTTTAATACACAGTGATATAGTTGATAGAGGCCTTGTATCTGAGACTACTAAGCCTGCTTTTTGCCTTACTTCACATCAAATTATCTTGCTTCCATAATACCCAACAACTGGCTATCACTTAAAGTATATTAAAAAGAAACTTTTAGGGTCAAAGTAAGTAGTTTGTAATGCTAGCACTCCTAGCAATAACTAGTCTTCTCAAAGGTCACACTTCTAACAGAATCCAAATGAGCTGACATCCAACACATAAATCCCTCATGTAAATTTTAATAAGAGAAGACACATGTCCTGATTAGGCCATTTTTAAACCTGACACAGATCACGCCATGCCACAGACTTGAAGATGGGACCATGGCCCTGTCAAAGAGCTCGTCAAATTGCAAAAATTAGTTTGGGAAATACTCTGACCACAAAGACATTGGTTTTCAAAAAATAGTTTGGGAAATACTTTGTCCACACGGAGATTGGTGTTAGAGTTGCCTTGTAAATAAGACTCAAAGAATTTTCTAAAATAGGAGCTTAGGAGGGAGCAATATTTCTAAAGAAATTTCAAAATAGAATGACTTCTTTTTTAACTCTCTGTTTATCAGTGACTCGAGGACTTACCTAGGTTTCTCTTTTGTGTCAGACAAAACCCAAAGACCAATCAATTTCTGTAAACTAAGTATCCCTCAACTTGGCTAACTCTGATTTCACCAATTTGATCCGAACATCCCTGTCGTTGCCTAATGAACAATGTCTAGGTGCCTTTTGCTTTTTACTCAAATCCCAGCCCCACAGACAAAAATTCATGATTTCCACATCAATAACATTCTTCTAGAAAATACTGATCTACCCAAAGAATACTTTCAGATTGCATTTTCCTCAGTTCTTCTGTACTTCTACACATGTTAATACCTCCAACATAAACACTGGCTCTCATTTCTATTAACCTGGTACTTCCTCTACACTCTGGCACATCAAACTTAATTTCTATCAGAATGCCTTCATTAAACATCTAAAACTATCAGGTAATCTGACCTTCTTATGTGGTCTACTCTCTGTTCTAATAAAACAATGTGTGACTGGAGTATTTTATTTAACTTTTCAATGCTTCAATTTTTGATTTTTATTTATTTTTAATTTCATTTTACATTTCTCCCTCAGTTCTCCCCCACCCTTCCTCTCCACCTGCCTCCCCCAGCCCACCCCTATCCACTCCTCCCAATGGGTAAGGGCTTTCATGGGAAGTCTACAAAGTCTGGCACATTAAGCTGGGGCAGGACCAAGCCCCTGCCGGCTGCATTAAGGCTGAACACAGTATCCCAGCATAGGGAATGGGTTCTAAGAAGCTAACTCATGCACCAGGGATAGATTCCAGTCCTCCTGTCAGGTGCCTCGCAAGTGCAAATTTCCACACTGTCTCCCACATATGGAGGGCCTACTTTGGTCCCATGGAGGCTCCACAGCTGTTGGTCTAGAGTTCCTGAGTTTCCAGAAGCTTGGTTCAACAGTCCCTACATATTTCTGCCTCATGATCTTGAGTTCCCTAGCATATATATATATATATATATATATATATATATATATATATCTCCCTCTGCCCTCTCTTCTGTTGGATTTCCAGAACTTGGCCTAGTGATTGGTTGGGGATCTCTGTATCTGATTCTGTCAGTTTCTGGATGAAGGTTCTGTGATGATATTTGGGATATTCATCGTAGCTAGAACATGAAAACAAGCTAGATGCCCATCAATTGAAGAATGGATAAAAAATGTGGTGCATTTATACAATGGAGTATTACTCAGCTGTAAAAAAAACAATGACATCTTGAAATTTGCAGGCAAATGAATAGAAAAAAAAATCATCCTGAGTGAGGTAACCCAGACTCAGAAAGACAAACATGGTATGTGCTCACTCATAAGTGGATATTAGATGTAAAGCAAAAGATAATCAGACTACAATCCACAGTTCTAGAGAAGTTAGGTAACAAGGAGGACCCAAAAAAGGACACATGGATTCCCCAGGGAAGGGAAATTAGGTGAAATATCCTAAGTAAACTGGGAGTGAAAGGGGAATTAAAAGGACAGGATAGAAGATGAGAACATGAGGGAATGGGATAGTCAAGCAGGGAGAGGAACAGAGTGGGAGAGCAATGAAAGAAAGATAGAGAGAGCCATTATGGGGTTAGGGAGAAGCCTGGCATTAGAGAAATTCTCAGGAATCCACAAGGATGACCCCTAGCTAAGACTCCTAACAATAGTGGAGAGAGGGTGCCTAAACTGATTATCTCTTGTAATTACAGTGCTTCAATTTTTAACTCACAAAATGAGAATAATAATATTAAATCATGGGTTTATTATTTCTGGTAGCACAAAGATCCTTGCACACACAGATAAGCACTAGGGAAACCAGGAATGTTAAACACACATGATTGTCTTTTAAAAGGAAGAGATATATAGCCTGTTTTCTGCCAAGAAGGCTAGGAGTGGAGGTGGCTAATATCTTGGGTGACACCTGTGCTATCTCTAGGGCCAGGCCACACCTGGCTCCCTCCACATTTTCACAAGCAAGACAGAACACGGTTGATAACCTAGATGACCTCTTTGCTAGCCGCATGACTGAGACCACACCAGATTCTCCCCTAAGGCCTTAAGATAACACATGTAGCCTATCTCTAGAATCCATTTTTGTGGAAGAAGTGGCATGTACTTTGAGAAGAGTTTTTGTGTAATTGTGCCTCATTGTGTACATGGGATTATGTTGCACCAGGAAACCTTTCCACAAATTATATTGTACTTAAAAATGACTAACATAAACTGCCTGGTGTGACACTAAAGTTTGACGCAACACCAGCTACTCAGTGATATTGAACTGGGCTTCCTTCTTGCCTCATGTAGATCATTATTCTACGAGTCCTGGTGATTTCAGATATGCCCTCTCCCCACCATATGCATACAACCCTGGGTTTTGGCACCAAGTTGATGGGTTGATGGGTATTTTTGTATCCCCAGTAGTGAGTTTCTTTGCTGATGCAATAGGCCAGATAAAACTGAATTTAAAAGTAAAGGACCAGGATGAATCTGAGCAAAGCACTCTGGTGGCTCTCAAGCTCCCACAACAGAGGTGAGGTGGGGGATGGAGAAGGAGAAATCACAGGAGAAATCTAGGGAGTAGAGTTTAAATACACTACAGGCATGGTCATGAGCAGCTCTGGGGAAGG